AAATTTGATCTGTTCAAAGGATTCTGGCAGCTGCCGTTAGCCGAGGATGAGGAGGAAAACGGAGGAGAGGAAGAAGTGCTCCCGGAAGCCGACAAGAATTCGTCAGTCATTATCATCTAAGGTTCTTCTTTCCGTCCAAGCATCGACAAGGCAAGTCGATGTAGCTGAGTCTTCGTGGGTTTGCACATGTTCGTTTGGTCTACCATTTTTGTAGCGTTCATAAACTTAACCAAATATGCATTGCTGCAGTAGCGTTTTTCGTCTACTATACTGGTCTGCGTTGCCCCAGGTCGTGAGCTTGTTGTGACGCCTAGGTTTCGTACGCCACTTGAACCATCTGCATTCGATGTTCGTTTTTATTGTTCTGAAGATAGTCGTAGAGGAGCCCTCGCCAGGATAGATTCGAAGCCGGCTCTCATGTTGGTTCTTCGTAACCAACCCATTTTACCTTGAACACCCGCACTGATCTCCCGACGATAGTACTCAGCCGTCTGATCTCATCCAATATGGCTTCGACCTCATATTCGCCGCCACGTTGATCGGGGACCCAAGGATTTCCTGGGAGCAGTTTTTGGTCGAAGTCAAGTATTGGTCCTTTTGCTATTTCTGGTACGAATCGAGTGGTAGGTCTGTTGTTGACTTCGTTGTCTAGTTTCATTCGAGATACGTGGACTACGGGGTAAATCCTGTAGCCACTCCGGTCTGGTAACTCTAGTTCATATGCATATTCATCCACTTTCAGTTTAATCTTGAATGAGTCATGCTATCTACGCGCCAATTTCTTGGTTAAAGCTGTCTTGACCCTTTCGATTAGAGCCATGCCCGGCTTCCCCACTCAAATAGTGAATTTGGCGTTTGACTAGTCGTTTCTTTTGAGGCATCGAGTACCGTCTCATCTTGGTGAGCTGAATCCTTCTATCCTAATCCTGGTACGACCGCTAGTTCCACTCGAGTCAAAGCATCGTTGTGTTCCTTCGCGCGCCAAACTTCCTATACTCTTTTGCCATACCAGACAAATTTTCTTGTTGGAGATTGACTTCGCGTCGTCATAATAGGGCATCAGACTGTTCCCCAGTTTCTTGTCTTGACGAAGTTGCCATAGCCTTCAGGGTTGACTGTGCGTCCCATCCACGGACTAGGTATAAAGGAGTATAATTTCTTGTTGTATCCATAGAGGTATTGATGGTGAACACTATGTGATTGAGGATTTCGTCCCAGTCTTGCTGAAATGGATCTTCGGCATATACCTTGACCGATTGCATCACTGTCTTGACAGACCTTTCTAGTTGTCCATTTGCTTGTGGCCACTAACTCAAAGTCACGCGAGATCTCGACTGCATCTCTGAAACGGTTGAAAGATCTCACTCATGAAGCGAGGGTCTCTGTAGTGCGGTATGAACGATGGTGCTTGGAATTTTCGATATACGTACTCTTCGAAGGCTTGTGCCAATCGCAGTGCTGTCGTATCTGACATAGGTTTCGTTATCCCAAAACCTATGAAGGCACTTTGGAATAATAGCAGTGTCGTGTTTCCTTGCCGCAATTTTGGCAGGGGGATGACAAAAGTCATGAATACTATCCTGAAAGGTTTCTCTGCTTGGATGTTGTCTGGCGAGTAACCACTGAATTTGTGATCTGCGTTTGCTGGTTCAAACGTCTAGACACGTTTTGACATGTTTATCAACATCTGAGTGTAGGCGAAAAGAGTAGTAGTCAAGTTTTAATCGTTCGTAAGTTCTCACCACGCCTTTATGACCTCCTTCGAGTGAAACGTGACTATTCTGCAGGACCGCTTGGATCATGATTGCGGGCACAACTAATCGCAATCGCAATTCTTCTTGAACGTCTTTTCGGTTCTGTAGGCTGGCGCGCATACTATACAGTCCGTTGGCATTGGTTAAAATGAATCGGCCAGCAGTTTTCCGAGCGTCTCTTGCAGCACGACATATGAGCTTATCTGCTTCTCCTAGAACATTCTTCTTCAATTTACGCCAATTTAGTTCTTCGTCTTGCGCAGTAGCGATTCTTCTTCGTCGTTCAGCTTGTAGTACTGCCGAACAATGTCTTTGGTGATCCACCCTCTTTGTTCTTCCCCAGACTGTGTCTGATCATTTGAAAGATCCGATACTTCAGTGAGTTGTTCTGTCGCTGTCAGTTCTTCGTGATGTTTCTGTTATTCGTCAGCGAATTGGGCATGTTTCTTCTGAGTTGTTGATTGACTCCTGGTTATCGTCATTACCTCTTGGGTATCTGGCTAAAAAGTTCGCGTAAGCTTTGTCTTTACCGTCTACACATTGAATTAAACTTTTCGTGCCCCGCATTTCTGCTTCCTGGACTCTCATGCTGTCCGCTGTAACATTGTAGATCATTTCGTGAATTTGATTGAGTTCTGACAACTCGTTCTCCCTACTATCACTTAGGACTACTTTCGATATTTTTGAATTCGAGGCCTTCTGTTGCTAGCAAATCTGCGGCAGCGCTGAACTCTCTCATCACATGTATATACTTGACTGACTTGACCTTCTTTGAAATTACTTTGTGGCGGTTTAGATGGAGTCTTAGTGCTTCATTGCGGTCTGGAGTCACCGACAATTACTAATTATTCGGCCCTACCACCATTGTTGCTTCCACGCCCTTGTTCATTTCTAAATATTCGGTAACGTTTACCCCCGTTGAGTCGAGGTACGCGTTCGCAGCGATCCCAATCTGCCATGAAGGTAATGACCACACTATCCAGGCATAGCTGCCATAGCCACCGTTTTTATGTTATTGCTGCGCCATTGAATGACACCTCATACCCACAATAATCATTTTGATTTTTTGCATACAACAGTCCTGATTATTTTTGGGTCGTTGCAGAACCTTTTGGTGGTGATGTCATGGAGCTAGTGTTTCAGTGATATCGACGAAGTTCGTCACGGAAGCCTTTATAAGTTTGGAAAACGCACACTCTTTTTCTTGTATACGCTGAACCATCAAATATCATGGATGCAACAACACCGCCCACTGAATTTCTCCTTCGAACAATGACTTTGACTTGGTGAGCCATTCCGATGTGGAAAAGCGTTTATATACCCGCAGGATGCGCCCCGCGAGGTGTGTGTAACATGTTTCAATATCAGTAATAGTACCAATACTTCTGTTTCTGCGGGATAATAATTCATTCCTGTATCTTTCAGTACCCTTCCACGGATTCGTACCGTGTGATGCTTCCCATCATGCATTTGCAACAATGTAGAGGTCCGGGCCCATTTTTAAAGAACAGTATGCTATAAACATCCTTCTCCTGATCGAAGTGACGACGAATCGGGGCCTCTGACACTTTCACCTTTAGTGCTTCGAAATTTTGTCTTGCTGTCGACAGATCGCCTTCTTTACCGAAACATTCGTCCTTCACCTCGTACAAAGCTGCCCCGAAGACTGCGAAATCTTGAATAAATATAATGTAGTAGTATAGAGTGCCTAAAAAGGATTGCATTCCTTTATTCGCCTTTGGAAAAGTAGCATTGTGATTGCTTCCATTTTCTTTATATTGGCTTGGGTTTCTTTTAAATAACTCATAGAATTTCTGCAAAAAAAACGAATAGGGATTCGGCGCACACGCGGTTGGATAAGGCTGTGTTCATTGACTTCGATGTAGCATACTACCCATAGACAGGAGGCATAATGCGTTACCACTCGCTATCATGATCTCTTCGTTCGTTTTCAATATCTCCATCAGCCTAGTTTGTTCTCGTTCTGTCCGTTTGGAATTTGGATCGTTTGGAGCTGGTAATCTAACACGGTTGACAAATGTTAAGATAACTCTGCCAAGAACGCAAGTTGTTATGCATAATCCGTCTGCCCGACATCAGCACTTTCATGAATGTAAGTGTCTGAAGTCTCATCATTCTCCTTGTTATTCTCTTTGATAGTGAGCAACCTGATTACCGAGACGAAGGTACGTTCAATATAGCCAAGTACATCGTCGGTGCTTTGTTCAGATGAGATTTCGTCACTGCTCTCGTCTCCAGACGATTCTTAGTAAGATTTATCGGCTGTCGCCCCCTGATCAAAGCTTTTCCACTGACGATATTTGACCGGTAAACCTCGTCGTGCTCCCAAGTAATATACTCGCTATCACAGTTGTTTTCGCCCATTGACTCCTGTGAGATTACCTCGTTCGCAGTTCGAGTCAATATTTCAGTAGGAGTTTGATATTGTGGTCTGTCAACCATTGGTGGTGTCTGTCCCTCATTGGAGGTTGGCTGTCCATCCATTGTTCGTGCATCTCACACTCAATTCTGAACAATATTTTGTCACAGGCGGCCGCATAAACAAGTACTTGCCACTCGGTATACTTCGGTGAATCAAATCTCACATATCCCACGTCCTGAGGGAGCTGACGGATCGGAACCCAGGCTATCAGAGCCATATGTGCCGAACAATAAACTGCCCTTCCGTAAATATTTGTCAGTCACATTTGGTCTGTTTCTTCTTTCTATATATCGTGACCGTCGGGATTAAAGTTATGTACGTCGAATGAACACATCATGAGTCTTTAGTGTCACTTGTCACTTCTATACGCGGAAGATTCTCTATTCGCGCCTTAGTATATATATTGCAATCTCGGGTGCTGATTCTTCGAAACGTACCTCTATATCACTTATCATAATTTGAGTTTTAATCAGGGGTATCCCCCCTTCATAAGAAAGTTTTTATTAGCGTAAAATATTTACAATCGTACTCCTGCCGGAAACATAAAGTCACAAACGAGTAAGACATTCACTCCAGCATAGTGATCCATAATCCACATGTCGAAGACATACACCCGTTCCCTTCTAACGTGATCTTCACATTCTTCCCTTGAGACACACTTTGTATCTTCATACTGCGATCATGATTAGGTATGTCTCTAACATTCAGCTTTTTTGCAAAGGCTTCAGATATTACACTGAAATTACCCCTGTATATGGAAGTATGCGTGTTTGTCGATCGTTCACTAGTCCAGCCACTAGTGTCCTCATTCTAACTCGTCTGTCAAACGTTTGTCATGACCCCTCAGTCTTTTTCCTGGTAAAAGCCGTACCAAATCCACAGGTTACGCAGTGGTGACGGCTGGACTATACTTGATACCCAGTTTACAGCAATCCCAAATCCTCCACTGAGGGTTTCACCCTTCTCCTTTTCCAATACAGTCCAAATCACATTGACGTCTCGTTCAGGTTTAGCGATTTGCTCGTACCCGCAAAAGCGTGTGCACACTCATCTTCAATTGCAGGCACGGCCAACTGTGGTAGGTCGTTGATGACCAACCTCAGTTGGCGGGGTGTCTAGTTTAAATGCTTGCCGACGTGTGGTGGAGCGGGATCAGCAAAATCTGTGAAAATGCTGGATCCGGCTTGCCGCTGTGCCCAGAACACCGACTGTAGGAGGGGGTACTCCTGTTGATCCGTGATCATCTCAACTTCCTCACCTTGTGTACCGTCGGTAGGGCTGGGTCCTGCTCCTCCCATAACCGCAGGAGAGGTCGAAGTGTTGAAGATCTTGAATGTCATGGCGAGACGCAGGGATGTGGTGTAGCAGCGCGGAAAGTCTTCGCTCTGGTGCCGGTTAGGTTGATCCGGAGTCCACGTGAACAGTAGAACGTGCATCACTGGTGGCGGACCTTGGATCCGGCCGTGTTGTTGTTATTGTGTTTTGGTTGTTGTTGATTATGCGATCCCATTGAATTGCTTACAGGATCCGATGGCTGGATCCTGGGGGAATTGAGAGATCGATGAATCTTCACAGCCAAGCAATATATGCTTTGGATCCGGAGCTTGCACGTATAGAATAAGTATTAGATAGTTGGATCTGGCCAATATATTATCCAGTTGTCCAATCTACACTAAATACAATATTCCTCATACGAGTTCACCTTGTATAACCAGTATATGTCTTGATCCGAGGTGTCCGTAGTACACTAAGTGTGGATCGAATAATGAAACCAACCACTTGTGCCCAATGATGTAAATTCGATTCTCCGATTCTCCGATTATTTCTAAGCCTTTGATCCTGATTTGTCTTATCGTCTACTACCTGGATCCACATATTTCTTTCCCAACAGCCGCTTATCTTCAGATCTGGCTGTGTAGCGCCGAATGCTTACCTTGTTTACTTGATCCTGATTCGCCTTGGGTAATCATATCTAGATCAGGCACCTATAAACAGGTACTCCCAGATTGATCCAACCATCTCAGTATCAGTTGCTCTGAGTCCATCAGACCTTCTCAGATCTGGATCCACAGTGGTTACTTCAGGCCAGGCATACCTGTCATTTCGCTTGATCTGATCACTTCCTGTCCGTAATTTCTCGGAATCCACTTTACCACAAAAGAGTAAAGGCTGCAACTCAGGAGCAATATCCATCTTGTCAACTTTGTTGCGAACGACATTTGCAACACTTTAAATATTCCCGAGTCGGGTACCTGCTTGCATAGCTTGCACTGACGTTTACAGAAGTGTGTAGATTGGAAAGTATCTCCGCATGCTTCACATGAGACGGCGCCAAACAAGTGATGCTAATTAATATTTTTGAGTTTTGAGAAGAACGGGTTTAAAATAGACGGTTCATATTTCGTACTTAAGTATTTTTTTCAGGATGGGGAGTTTGTAAATTTCAAATTTTAGCAGAGGTGTATCGACAGCCATGGTGGAGCTTGCAACTCACAAAGACGACGACCTGGTGCCTGACACGGGCGCTAGAGTGGCGGACGAGTATAGCAGCGACGCAAGCGCATAGAGCGCTTGGGCCCCGAACTCTGAAGAAGACTGCTTCAGTGGCAACAAAATCCTAACCTGCGATGACGAAGGCAACAGCGGTGATTCCAGCTCGGAGGACACTAGCATCATTTTGATTGGTGATGATCTCCGCGGTGCTGTAACTCAGCTAATTCGACACGACCCCTGCGAGTAGTTGGAGTAGCAGCTTTGTCGAGAAAGTGCCCTCGCGAAGAAAACCAGTGACCCTTCGTTTCCACTCGTTGAGAGAGCCCAAACCCTTCGCAGCAATTCGAAATGAACCAAGTAGCAAATCTCTACAAAAATCTCTACAAACCAAAATCTACATCTGACATTTGAAAATTTGATTT